CGAGTCGGATGGTCTTATTGCGTAGTTGTTTGTCCTTAAAGTCCTCAATTCGCTCCGGTTCGGATCTAAAGGTCAAATTCTCCCTCAATTCTACTTCTTCAGGTTCAATAACATGGGAGGGATCCGGGTTGTACTTCTTAACTGTGATACGTGGAACACATTATGGATACCTGCAATCTGTGGAGGTAATGCAACTCTATATGCAGCAGATCCAATTCGCTCCAAGATCTCATACGGGCCCATAAATCTAGGTGTCAATTTCTTTGCCTTAATGGATCTACCAATGCCTGTCACCGGAGAAACCTTCAAAAATACATGATCTCCTACTTCAAACTCTAACGGCCGTCTCCTCTTATCAGCATAGCTCTTCTGTCGGCTCTGAGCGGTTAGCAATTTTTGCTTAATCATTGCAATCTTCTGGGTGGTCTGCTCTACAATTTCTGGACCAATGATACTCCTCTCACTTAATTCTGTCCAACACAAAGGCGATCTACACTTCCTTCCATACAAGGCCTCATAAGGCGCCATCCCAATACTAGAATGATAGCTGTTATTATAAGCAAATTCAGCTAATGGCAAATGATTATCCCAACTACCTGGTAGTTCAATGGCACAAGCTCTCAACATGTCCTCCAAAGTCTGGATCGTCCTCTCTGTTTGTCCATCTGTTTAGGGGTGGTATGCGGTGCTAAAACTCAGTCTGGTACCCATAGCCTTCTGTAGCGCCCCAAAAGTTTGAAGTGAACCTTGGGTCACGATCTGACACAATTCTAGAGGGTATACCATGAAGTCTAACTATCTCCTTAATGTATATCTCAGCAAATTTCTCTAATGTAGAGGTAAACTTGATCGCCAAAAAGTGAGCCGATTTGGTGAGTCGGTCTACTATCACCCAAATAGCATCCTTACTCGAGGGTGTTCTTGGCAGTCCAGTGATGAAATCCATGAAAATATCATCCCATTTCCACTTTGGAATATCTAACGGTTGCAGTGTTCCAGCTGGCTTCTGATGTTCTATCTTTATCTTCTGACACGTTAAACATCTAGAAACAAATTCAGTTACATCTTTCTTCATTCCTGGCCACCACCAACCTCGCTTCAAATCATGGTACATTTTAGTTATACCGGGATGAATTGTATATTTGCTCCTATGAGCCTCTTCTAAAAGGATATTCCTCAATCTTGGATCATTAGGTACACAAACTCTACCTTTATATCTCATCACTGTGTCATCAGAGATGGTAAAATTTGGGGCTTTACCTGCCACTATCTCCTTCCTTATATTCTTCAAGTAGTCATCACTCTGCTGTGAGACTCTGAGATCTTCCCAAAATTTGCTCTCAAAGTCTGCTACCTGGAGTGCGGCCATTTGATGTTCAATCACATCCACTGGAACATCATGAAAACTGTTCCACAAATGATATTCATGAACCATCAAATGTGCAGCATGAATAGTCTTCCTACTTAAGGCGTCAGCTACCACGTTAGCCTTACCCGGATGGTAATGTAATTCAAAGTCATAATCCTTCAGAAATTCCATCCATCGTCGCTGCCTCATATTAAGCTCTTTCTGATCAAATAAATACTTCAGGCTCTTATGGTCACTGAAGATTTGAAACTTAGATCCATACAAGTAGTGTCTCCATATCTTCAGAGCAAACACAACTGCAGCCAACTCCAAGTCATGTGTAGGGTAATTTTCCTCGTGTGGCCTCAACTGTCTAGAGGAATAGGCAACCACTCGGTCATCTTGCATCAAAACACATCCTAAACCCTTTAAAGAAGCATCAGTGTACAGAGTGTACGGCACCACAGGGTCAGGAATAGTCAATACTGGAGTAGTGGTTAACCTCTTTTTCAATTCTTGGAAAGCAGCTTCACATTTGTCAGTCCAAATAAATGGGGCATCCTTTTTAGTCAGCTTAGTCAAGGGCATCGCAATTTGCGAAAATCCCTTAATAAAGCGACGATAATAACCTGCTAAACCTAGAAACTTCGTATCTCTGTCACAGATTTTGGCTGTTCCCACTTCATCACTGCATCAATCTTGCTAGGATCCACCGCAACTCCATCTCTGGACACAACATGGCCCAAAAACTTTACTTCTTGGAGCCAAAATTCACACTTGCTTAATTTGGCATAAAGCTTATTTTCCCTCAAAACTTGCAAGACGATTCTTAAATGCTCACCATGAGCCTCCTCATCCTTTGAATAAATAAGAATGTCATCAATAAACACTACTACAAACTTATCTAAATAGGGTCGAAAGATCCTATTCATGTAATCCATGAATACCGCAGGAGCATTCGTAAGTCCAAACGGCATCACCATGAATTCATAATGCCCATATCTCGTCCGAAATGCTGTCTTAGGTATATCCTCCGCTCTTACTCTCAATTGGTGGTACCCTGACCTTAAGTCAATCTTTGAGAAAACTGCGGATCCCACAAGCTGATCCAGCAAATCATCGATTCTCGAAAGTGGATATTTGTTCTTGATGGTTACTTTGTTCAATTGTCTATAATCAATGCACAATCGGAGGCTTCCGTCCTTCTTCTTTACAAAAAGGACTGGAGATCCCCAAGGTGAAACACTCGGTCTGATGAAACCCTTCTCAAGTAGCTCTTCAATTTGCTTTTTCAGTTCTGCTAACTCTGAAGGGGACATCCGATAAGGAGCCTTAGAAATTGGCCCTGTACCGGGTACCAATTCAATTGAGAACTCTACCTCGCGCTTTGGGGGTAAACCGGAGACTTCGTCTGGAAATACATCCGCAAATTCTTTGACAATTGGGATATTCTTCACGCCTTCATCAATCTCAGCTTGGATAGAGAAGAAAACCATGTAGGCCTGGCAACCCTTCTTCATACATCTATCAACTTGCCGCCGACAAGAAAACATGATCTTGAGTCTCGACTGGGGTCACCGACAAAGAAGATAAAGACACACTCCTCTCTCTACAATCTAGGATAGCACCATTTGCAGCCATCCAATTCATTCCCACAATTACATCCATACCTCTCAGTGGTAGGATAATTAAGTCCATAGTTGTTTTCCTATTTTTAAACTCGACTACTAGGTTAAGGCATGCCTTAGCAGTCCTCACAGATTCTCCCGCAGGAGTAGACACATTCATATCAAAAGGTAAAATACACACAGGCAAATCAAGGTTCTTTACACAAGTTTCAGAAATAAAAGAGTGTGTAGCACCCGAATCAAATAGTGCAACAATATCATGATGAAGGATTTTGATGTTACCTCTAATGGCATCTGGGGAGTTCATGGTGTCCTGAGTAAGAGCAAACACACGGCCAGAGACAGTAGGATGTTGGGAAGGGTTCTTCATATTTGAGCCCTGGTTGTCCCCACAAAACTTTGCAATGTGACCGGTTTCCCACAAATGTAACAGACCCAGCACTGTCCGAAATGACGACGCCGCATTTAGTGCACTGTTGAGAGCTCGCTGTACTCGGGGCAGGGGTAGATACTGTTGGGCTCCTCTGTGACCGTGATAACTACTATGATAGCTCCTCTGTCCTTGGCCCCTTTGAAATGGACCCTTTTTGCCTTCCTTGGTTCCATGAGCTACTCGAACCCTGATGGTTTTTCTTCATAATGCCTCCAGTGGGTCGAGGGTAGGTTGGGGGTCTACTATATGAATAACCCCTCTTCTCTCTCTCGACCTCCTTCTTACTGCGAGCTACTACTTGTAGTTTTATGCACATTTCATCATAATCTCGGATATCTAGATGAGCCAATTGCTCCCTCAATTCTGGTCTAGCCTTCTCCAATAAGCGCTTGGCCTTCCATTCAGAATCATCCCTATACTGCAGGTACGTGGAGTATCTAGATAACTCCTGAAACTTAGCAATGAATGTGTCCTCATCGAGGTTCCCTTGCTTAAAGGCATGGAACTCCGCTTCCTTCTCAGACCTTAACTCTGATGGAAAGTAATGCCTGAATAATTTTTCCTTGAATTCCTCCCAGGTGAGTGTAGAATCATCCCTGGGCCCTGCTGTCTCCCACCAATCTCTTGCTCCTTTCACTAGGAGCACTAATGCTACTTGTACTTTCTGATTGCTGGTGCATGTGACTACTCGAAAGATGGACTCGAGTCTCTTCACCCATTCCTCTACCACGGATGGTTTAAGGTTACCATCAAACGTAGGAGGGTTAAACTTCCTAACAGTTTCCCACACATCAGTAATGGTCGGTGGGGCTCTCTGTTCCTCCTGCCTAATTTCCTCCCTTCTAACTCATGATCTCTCGGAGTGGCAGGATGTGAGGAACTGCCTTCCCCCACATGACTCTCAACATGAGCCCTATCTCCATTTTCAGTTACCTTTTGCCTCTTTAGCTCCGTCAACTCTTGTTCGTATCCTTGAACCTTGTCTGTTAATGTTTTTACAAGCATTCTCAATTCCGCCAAGTCAGGCTCCTCGTTTGGCAGCGGCGGTGGCAGGTGCTCATGTTGGAATCTTGAGTTACTGCGAGTAACAGGCATTTTCTCTCCCCTCCTAAAGGATACAAGATATAAATAATAAAATTACCTAGCTATATAATGGCCATACAATGAGAAGCACCATAACAATGTATATTGCCAACCAACTATATGCAATGCACTACACATAATAAATACATATTAAATTCACACAAATAATAGTTTCAAACAAAAGTTTAAATAAGTGTTACTAAAATAGAGGCTCAAAACATGATGCTCTGATACCAATATGTAACACCCTCAAAACTTACAGACCGATTTTTCGCAAATTATTAAAACCATTATCATGGTAGAAAAATTTTCTTACCATGATACATCCAAGACATAACACAAGTCTTAAAAGATCCAAAAAGGCAATTAAAACCATGAGGGACAGACATAATTCTCATGGTCATATAAATATTTAATAAAAAGGATTAGAGTTTACATGTTCCACAAAGAAGATATGTCCTAAGTTGGCACAAGATACATTGTATAATCCAAAATAAGAGGCAACGTAAAAGATGGTGTCTCATACACCATAGTTACACCTCTGGTGCTTTCTCGGCCGGACTCGCTCCTGTAAAAATATTAACATGGGAATGAGACTTAAAAGTCCCAGTAACCAAAAATTAATATGTAATGATGCATGCGGATGTAACTAATCATGCGATTGCTAAGTGGGCACACAAAACATTTAACCGAACAATATTTCCAAACAAACCGAACAAGTATTTAATTGCATGACTACACCTTATATCCTCCTTTCGCCATGCTCGGACGCCAAATCACCCGGCCAAAGGTGAGTTGGACCAAGCGACACGCCACTCATTGGGTCCAATGAGGGCTTACCACGTGGTAATAATTAACCGAACAGAAATTCCCATTAACACTATATATTAAAATACCCTGACAAGTCATGCATCATTCAAATATCCAAACAGGAATATAGCCGAACAATAATATCTCATCATGATAAACAAAAATAAATTTTTGACCCACTTGGCAATAATTTAAAACAAGTATATAACAATATTTATTTTCAATAATTCATAGTTTTTTCAAACAACAAGTCAACACATAACCATTCACAAACACACTCATCACAACACATTAATGATGGTTACCTTGTGTCTTGAATAACAAGTTCCCCTTCATAACTCCTTTTTCACCACTATCTTTGTCAATATAATCTACATAATTATTTCACAATACTATATATTAATTTTACATTAAAATAAATAACTCTAATTTAAAGAGTTAGAAAGTCTTAGATCTATAATCCATATTAATACTAATTTAAGATTTATGCCTCATTTAACTTCCCAAATTCTTTTTCTAAAATTCTCGTACCCTAATAAACTATTTTTTTTATCCTCAAATCACTTCTCGTATCACAATTTCATCCTTCTATATTCTAAAAATTCATCCAAAAATAAATTAAAATTTTAGAATTATCCTGAAACCTCAAATCACCTTTCTATAATCTCAAAAATACCTATTCATACTTAAATAAATATTTAATAATCATAGGTTTATCCCTACATCTCAGATTCCACATAAATTCAACCATATAGATCTAGATTTTAACTCAAAAATTCTTAAACATGAGTTTCAACCTCAAAAAAATATCCTATAATATTTATTATATCCCTAAGAGTTTTAACCTATATTTTTAATCCATCATATCATCAGATTAACTATCATATAAAAAAATCCTAATCAGAATATTTACTCTATCTTACAAAATAATCATATCACTAGAAAGCTAATATTATTTAGAAAATAACTATAAAATTAATTTTGTAATTAAATAAATTTTTAAATGCTAATCTAAACAGGAAAGTTAGAACATACCTGAAGAAAAAGAAAATAATCCCCCCTTGCGAGAAAACGCCGAGCAACGTGAGAGGAAGAGAGAAAAATAATATAAAAATGGGATTGTGGTCCCAAAATTATATTAAAAAAAACTATAGGTTTGAATTTAATTATTCAAACCTTTGGGCCATTACTTGCAATTTTCACAAATTGCATCTTGGGCCCTTAATTGCAATTTTCACAAATTGTAATAAAAAATTCCTCATACTTCCTCCACAATGCACCTCCTCTTTTTATACATGAGGAGGTGCCTTTCATTCCCACATCTAACCGATGTGGGACTAAACCCCTCCTTTTTTTTTTTACTTTCTTTTCTTTTTCTTTTTTTTTAACTCACACACACACATTAATAATAATTTTTTTTAAATCTTAAAATTGTATCTTAATAAAATATTTCTTATATAATTTTAAACTTAAGTTTTTAATTCATAATTAAATGCCTAACCATATTATTATTTTCAAATAACCTCAAATAATATAAATTCCTATTATTATCATCATTTTAAAAAAAACTTAAATTTCATAATTTTTTTATCTAAAAATTAGGATGTTGCAGTTCATATTGCAAGGAATAATTTGATACCTATATAAGTATGAATACTTGACGAGGAATGTGTTTGAGTTTCATATAGGTACAAGGAATACATACTGGAATGAACATTGTAAAAGATGACATTTGAACAAGATTGATATAGGTAGCAAGAATATGGTACCTATATGAAATTACGTAAGGTAAGATGAAGAACCTGTGTTTATATGAGTATGAGAAACTTCATATGGGTATGAGCATGGAGAGATGGTATTGAAGACATTTGATACTAGTATGAAGTATATGACGTTGACATGAATTAAGTTGAGCATAAATACAAGCATGAGCAAATAGTCATTCGTATAAAGATGAGGATAAGAGAAGTAAAATTTAGATAGTTGATACCAATATGAAAATGAAGATACCGGTATGTAAATCTTCAAGGAAGAAAAGATACCTTTCATATGGTATGGCTATGAAGATAGGAGTATGAGACCCTTAATACTAGTATGACATAGTTAATACTGGTATGAACAAGACGAACTTAGTAAAAAAAAAAAACTAAAACATGAATTGATCATGTTCAAGGAGATTTGAGATAAGTCAAACACTTATCTCAAGCCTTATGAGAGAAAATAAAAACAAAGGATAAGTTTAGGATTAGAAATAAGATAATGAAGCCTATAGTTTGGATTATCTTAATTTTTTGAAGAAAAAAAAAGCACACAACCATCTAGAAAAAAGAATACTTCTCTATTTTATAATAATCAAAACTAAGATTTAACAAGGTTGACGGGAAGAGGGTGTTATGAGCTGAACTTTCTTTTAAGGTCTAGCAAGGTAGTCTGTAATGGTATTGTGGTTTCCTTTAATGTGTCGAACTATGAATTTGTATTAGGAAAACCAATCTTTCCAATGAGAGAGTTGAGCTTTACGGAGAACCCTTTTATTTTGATTAAAAAAATCTTTGGGAAAGATGTATTGTCTATTTCTACTACAAAGTGATAGGGGTTGAGATGAAAGCTGAATTTTCAATGCCACATTTCACAGCTAGAGCTTCTTTATAAGCTATGTGATAATGCTTTTCAGAGAGCTTGAATTTCCCACTAGCATGACCACAATAATGTCTCTTTTTATTAATTTCTTCTATGAGTACTTCTCACTACTACAAAATAGATTTATATGAGTTCCTATTTCAGAACGTTTTTGTTTAAAAACGCTCTAGAATGGTGAGGCGAAACTTACCAAAGTGCAGTAGAAAAAAGAGCTCCCATATATGTTTCATATAGAAGTGCTTCTTTTAAAAGCACTCCATTAGATCCCATGAAAGAAATTTAAAAAAGCAATTAAAATCTATTGGAGCACTTTTGTAATAAGCACTTCCACAACTTATATTTAAAAGAATATTTTTTAAAAAATAAAGTTTCTCAGAGTACACTTCCATAGATAGAAAAAAAAATTTTAGATACAAAAAAGCTATAAGAGCATTTTTTTAAAAATATTTTTTAAAAAGCACTCAAAAAAATTATATATACAAAACTATCAGAGCGCTTAAGTTACAAGCGCTTTGATAGAAATTGCATATGGAAGCGCTTTCTTAATTAGGGCTCTTAAAGGAATTTTTTAATTAAAAAACAAAAAAGAAAAGCCTCTCATCTGCCCGAGCACCCATCCCCTACTCAGAGTGAGATTTCTAATCTAATAATTCCAAGCTCTCTCTCCAACGAAGCTCTCTCTCTCTCTCTCTCTCTCTCTCTCTCCATTCTTCTCCTCACCCCACAAGAAGCTTCGTCTCCAACTGCAAGCCAGCCACAGACCCACAGTCGATGTTAGCCCAAGGGGCTGCCAAAGTCGCTGTCAAACATAGTTTGTAGATTGGCCTTGTCTGTCAAGTCCCAAAGGACTGAAACCTTGCTCGCGTCGCGTCGTGCCGTCACGTGTTCCGTCGAAGTCATCGGTCGGCGTCCCGTCTTCGTCCCTTTTTAGATCTAAGCCGTGCGTCAGAGTAAGGAAGAAGATGGAGTAAGGGTTCTTAATCTTTGATGCATCCGTCTTCTCCTCACTTTAGATCTAAGCCGCATGTCCGTCTTCTCCCCTCTTGATGAGATCCCTGTCCTCTGCGATGTTGAGGTCACTCTTATTGTCTTCTCCCACAAAGGAAAGCTTTGAGTATTCCACTGATTCTTGGTATAATAAATATTTATTGTATATATACTTCCTATATATTCACATCATTATTACTATATATCTTTTCCTTATAGCTGGTTTTTATGAATGTTGCGTGCAAGTGTTTATTTCTTTCTTCTTTCGGTAACTGATGATGATGAGAACTAATTACTTCTCCTGAAAAAAATATGACGTTTTTAGGTTCAGGGATGCATATCACCTTACATGACAGCAAATCCTTTGACCACTAGCTAAGCTCATAGTTGATAGTTGTTTTCCTTTGGAGGATTTTTCATGTTGCCTCCTCAATTGTGGAGATAAGCATCTTTTTGACAGGGACCTAAAGGCGATGCTGAAGTGTACAACGTTTAATTTATTTTAGTATCCATCTTTTCCTCTGTTTCTGGTTATTTACATGAATGTGTAGTAAAAAGGAGAATAGAGACTTACTATAGTGTACAATGGTTATTTACTCTAGGAATTTCTAAATTTGGTTTGACTATAAGCTGTGATATATTTTACTTTGACAGTAGAATTGTGGAGGAGCTATTGTTCTTATTGACTATAATCTATCTAATATGGTAAATATGGTCTTTTTATTTCATTGGGAAGGATCAGAGTACGTGCCTTTTCGTTACAAAATATCTTTCACGGCCAATTTCTAACAGTTCTATTTTCAGTTTTCATAAGATCAAATCTGGCTAACTGATCGATGTCTGAAAAGTAAACATGAGAGACTGCTCTCTGCATAAGCTATATATAGTTAACTTGCTGAAACTAAATCAAAAGCGTTTTTAATGAGGGATTGACACTCATGTAAAGGATTTAATATACTGTTGAGATTCTAATGTAGCATGTTTGCATCCGAGATATTTCATGAATCCTGAGATATAAAACAATGTTGTACATCAGATCTTGTGAAAATTGTTGGCACTCTTATTGGACCTTTCAGTGACCCATAAATTCAGCTATATTTACCATCTTGATATGTAGTAACTGTCACTCTTGATTTTTCATAATATGTTATCTTATTGTGTTTGGTGGAAATTGTTAGCCTAGTTTGTTGTGGTTTTGCTCTTTCTGGACCAAAAATTATAAGGACATTATAACAACCATTCATATTTCAAAGATTTCAGTGGGGGCAAATGAGTGTAATATAGGTTTGCCTGTGGTGATAAATGTTATTTAGTAGAAATTGAAAAGATTATGTTTTTTTTTTGTGTTTTATTTTATTTTCCACTTATCTTTACTTCTTTTCCCTGGATATGCAGAGATGAGTTATTGGTCTCCATCATTTGTTCTTAATAATCAGCATATGCCATTGTCTGCTGCAAGCACCAAAACTTCTGTTAGTATCAAAAGCAGCGCCTGTTTTATAAGTAGTCTGAGCCAACAAAGGTGCTATCTCTCTGTTGCTGAAGACCATTATAAAATCAGGAGACTCAGGATTTTTGGGGTAATTCTATATAGACAAGGATTGTCACATTTGCAGGCCCAACAAGGAACTTGGGAAGAACCTGATGATGGTAGTGGGAGTATGATGATGAAGAAGAAGATGAGCAAACAGAAGATGAGAACTATGGCTTTGAAAGTGATTGGGAAGAGGAAGGGATTACAGCATTAGCCATTAATGGTGCTATTTCACTGGACAAGTATGGGGAGGATATTAAAAAAGGCACTTTCCCTATGCCTATGATTTTTTTTTTAAAAAAACTCTTTTGCAGTCAGACCTGGACATCTTGCTTTCAATATATTATGGTTTAAGTGAAGTTCCAGATTATGGAATGTTCAGAAGTATAGGAAAATGATGATGCTGTAAGTGACCAAATCCAATTAATATAAACAATGTTGATTTGTTGAAGAAAGTCTTTTGAGTGTTGTGGTAATGGTGTGAATTTGATATAGGAATCCAGGAACCAATATGAGGTTTCATCAGGAAACAACGGTTTCCCACTGGAAAACAGCAGGAAGCAGAGTGATGCAGCTCAAGGCCTAAGGTGCTACTCCCAAACGCCTATTTCCTATGCTGTTTGTGCTCAGTATTTAGACTCATGGCACTGATAACAACAACAACAACAACAACAAGCCTTTATCCCACTAGGTGGGGTCAGTTACATGGATTGCAAGACGCCATTGTGCTCTATCATTTATTAAGCTTTTAGAAATATTATTAAGAGATCACGTTCAACAACTTCCAAGAGTGTTCTCTTAGGCCTTCCTCTACCTCTCTTAATCGGACTCAAAGTTATATGTTCCACTCTTCTCACTGGTGCCTCCCTTGGTCTTCTTTGTACATGCCCAAACCATCTCAACCGATTTTCTACCATTTTTTCCTCAATAGGTGCCACCCTCACTTTTTCACGTATGTGCTCATTTCGAATTTTATCTTTACGTGTATGTCCGCACATCCATCGTAACATTCTCATCTCTGCTACTCCAACTTTATGTTCTTGCTGTCCCGTTAGAGCCCAGCATTCACTACTATATAACATTGCTGGTCTGATAGCAGTACGATAAAACTTTCCTTTAAGTTTATTAGGCACCTTACGGTCACAAATAACTCCTTTAGCTTTTTTCCAATTAAACCACCCAGCTTGAATTCTATGTGAAATATCTTCACTGATTTCGCCATCATTTTGGATAATGGCTCCCAAATATCTAAACTTTTCCACTTGAGGTATAATTTGATCTCCCAATTTCACTTCCAAATTATTTTCGAATAGTCCTTTATCAAATTTACAATATAAATATTCCGTCTTACTTCTACTCAGACGAAAACCTTTCGACTCCAATGTCCTCCTCCATAACTCAAGTTTGCAATTAACCTCTTCTCTTGTCTCTGCTATAAGAACTATATCATCCGCGAAGAGCATACATTTCGGGATTTCCTCTTGAATATGTTCCGTCAAAACATTTAAAATCAAGTTGAACAAATAAGGACTCAGAGATGATCCCTGATGTAGCCCAATCTTTATAGGAAAATCCTTTGTTTGACCACTAGGCGTTCTTATACTAGTTTTTACCCCCTCATACATATCTTGTATGGCTTTAATATAAGCAATCCGTACTCCCTTTTTTTCCAACGCTTTCCAAAGCACTTCTCTTGGTATACGGTCATATGCTTTTTCCAAATCAATAAAAACCATGTGTAGATCTTTATCTTTACAACGATACTTTTCCATTAATCCCCTTAGTAGATAAATCGCTTCTGTAGTTGATCTACCTGGCATAAAACCAAATTGATTCTCAGAAATACTGATAATTGAGAGTAAAATTTTTGCCAGGAAGAACTTAAAAAAAAAAAAAATTAAAATGCATGCATGCCCTTAAACCCTGAAAAGTAAAATAGGATGCAGAGAGTTCAATGGCTTGGTAATTCTTGTGTTACTCGAGTCTGTTGGTAATTAACAAGAAACAAAATTAGATTGGATGAGTGCATGCATGGGTTTATAAAGACAATGATAGCATTTTAAGCAGGAGAAGGGTAGAGTGTAAGAGAAGAAGGAAGCTCCAATATAAGATGGTGAGGTTTGAAAATGGATATACAAGGGAAATGGGGGATGGTATGATGAATTTAGATATGTCTTGTGTGGGTGGTGGGCTGTAATATCATGAAACAGAGGAGGAAGAGGAGAGTGTAGTCAGGAGAAGGAAATGAAGAGAAGAAAATAAAATAAGCGAGGTTGAGTAACTGTTACGATGCTGTGCAGGAGGAGGTCGGGGAGGATGGCGCGTGAGATTGGAAACATGGCAAGTAGCGTTGGACTTTAATCATTTTCTTTATAATCTTTACCAGTCAGTTAAAGGATGCTTTATTAGCAACATGACATGAAGTAATTGCTTTTACTATTAAATATTAAAATGTAACCATTTAGCTTTTGAAAAGAACAAGTAACAGGAAAAATCTACCTAGTCAAAACCTATTTAATCCTCTAGAAGGGATTAGTGAAGATTGGACTTAAAGGAAAATTTATGGATTTAGCTTCCATTTAGTGCCCTTTTAGACTTGTTGGTATTCTGCTGATAGCTTTTTCTATTTGTCTTAGTATTATTTTATAAAGAAAGAAAATGTGGTGACTAATCAAATGCGGTACAGTTCATAATAATTATAATCTCAAAGGCCTAAAATAAAGGGGGATCTTTGAAAATTGCTAATCATGACAATTACGTATAAATTATGCATTGAGAAGGTAAGTGCTTTCTAACTATTTTCCTATTTTATTTTTATTGTAATGTTTTGGTAAATATTGTCATGAAGGATGCTTGTAGATTTCTTGTTTGGCGCTTTTTTTTTTTTTTTGTGAATTTCATCACTCATCTTATTTTTTTTGTTTTATTTTGCCATTGTGAACTTATCTTTCTTTGTTTTTTTTTTTTAGTTTTGCAGAGGAACAAAACGCTGTTGAAGGAGCATGAGAAGAGAGGGAAGTCATCGGTGTTTGTTGTGGTACCATATTAGCTTTTAGGATGTAATCCATTATGCATAGGGAATTTTTAAAATTTTAAATTGTATGACTCCAAATACTGATTGAATTTTGACTAGTTTGTAATGATGTATAATTTTATAATGTTTAATGAATTTATGCTTTGTAGTGTTTAAATTGTCTTAATATTATCGAGTAATGATTTATTATAAAATTTATTAGAATGTATTAAAGGATATGTCTAATTAAGGAGAATATTTTTTTTTTTTAAAATAAAACTACATGCAAGAGTGTTTTTTGGATAAGCACTCTTGTGGAGAAGCATTCCTATAGAGCCACATATGGGAGTGCTTTCCCAATAAGCGCTCCCATAGAACTCCTTCATGCTCATTTTGTAATCTTTTTTGAGAGGCCTATTGGAGTGCTTCTGGGAAAGAGATCTCGCAAGGGCGTTTATGAAAGTGCTTTAGAAAGTACTCCCATACATTCAAGAGCACTAGTTATAGGAGTGCCTCTGAAGCGCTCTTGAAAGCAAAAAAATAAGTGCTCCAAAAGATATGTTTTATAGTGGTGTCTCTCTAACAATCATTATTTGCATCACTTTATAGAACTCTAACCTTTATCTAGAATCTTTAAAGGTGGAAGATGTTGAAAAATCTACTTTAGATGTTGGGTAGCTTCTATTTGACTTATCGCCTACAACGATGGATTTTTCCATAATAAGTTGGACCATTGGTTGGTATGATGTGAACTTGAGGAATAAATTCTTTGATGTAATTAATAATCCCTAATAACTTTTGAATTTGTGTTCTGGATAAGTGTTCATTTAGAAAGTTTAATAGTTCTCAAGTAATATGTGGGTTGGGTTGGTATACCATCCATCTTGAATAGTCAACCCCAAAAATTCTATTTGGGCAATATCAATATATCCTTTTTAAGCTAAGAGTATAATCTCATATTGCAACATTATTTTATAGAATTGGGCTAGGAGGTTCTTGTGCTCTTTCTCAATTTTAGAGAACTGTAACATGTCATCAATGTATGTATATCAATACTGTTGATAATAGGAAAGGTACGGATCAAACTTTGAGAATATTTTGGCCTTCTTTAGATGGACTAATTGAGTGTTAATCTTTATGAGAGGAAACTTGTCATCTTATAGAAAAGCATTAAGAGGCTTGTAATCAATTGCCAACCCCTCATCTCCTCTTTATTTCCCTAATCTTTTTTCAACATAAATGCCTGGCATGCACATTCTTCTCTTGAAAGGGAAAGGCCTTCAAGATTCATCCTAGGATGGGATACTTTTGTTGGATTGATATCTTCATTCTTCTTGAAAGGAAGCTTGATGAAAAACCCCTCAATTTTCATCATGACTTTCATATCAAAATTAGAGGAGTTGATCTCTAATATACTCATAACTTAGAGGAGCTATTGGAATCTTTATGATGTTTGAGATATTAGTGTATTCCATAGAAAATTGTTTGAACCTGATACCCTTAGGGAGTATATGTAGGTTATTCGTTTGTCGATACACATTAAAGCAAATAAGGATATCTTTTGCAGGAAGATTATTTTAAAGGATTTTTGCCTCGATAGTGTCATCCAAGGGAAAAATTTACTCCAAATTTTCTTTAAATATGGCTTCTTATAGGCTGATCGTAACTTTTAATTTTCGTCCAACATGGACTTAAAGAGCTTTTGTTGTTCACAAAGCTTATCCAGAGCAGAAAGAGATTAATAAATTTATCCGAGAGATCCGGGACATGTCTCTTTGTAACGCATTAATGTCTTTGTATAAATCTAGTTGAAGGTTATCTAGTATTGAAACAATAAACATATGCCTGATATTAACATCAATAGCACCATTCAGCATGTAATAGTTTTCAAACATCTGTTGAAAATGCTTCTACAAATCTTTTCTATCTAATGAACAACACTTCATTTCAATGAACTTCTGTTGTTTCTTTTTTCAATGCGATTAAATCTCTTACAAATTCTTTATGAATAATTCTAAGGAATGATGTTGTATCAAGTTCTGTTGCTTGGATCTTTTGATACTTACTAAGATTTCAGAACCGTTCTCTCAAGTTTCTAGTTATCCCTAAGGGAAATTTTGAGAGTATTGATCTGCTCATCTACAAATAAATCCACACGTCAAAACTAACAAAGTCTTTCCCTCCATTTTTGTAAAGGTAGATCATCAAAAGTAAACCATCGTTCAAAGGAAGGTCTAAAACTATGGGTGTTTAGTCTAGTTAGATTGTCTTTCATGGATTTTGGCTCATCTTTAGGGTCTTCCATAGCTAGTTCTAGATGTAGTTGAATTATGGCAATTCTGGTTAAATCAACTAGATGCTTCAAAGTTGTATTATTAGATGAGATCTTAGTTGAAATAATTGAGTATGAATCTTCTCCATCAGTATAAGCTTGTTCAAAAATAACTTTTCTTATAGAAGTAATAGTTCTTAAGGAATTTTCTATGCCTTTAGCTTTTCCAGAGGGTGGAGGAGATGTATGTCAAGGTGGTAAAGGAGGAGATGTCTTAATTGTCAAAGGTTTTTCTCGAGGTTTAGCATAAGATGGCAAGGCTTGATATTCTTGTCTTGGTATGAGGTTTCTAGGGAAAGGTCAACTTTTTGTATGTGATAAAGGTAGTTTTGGTTTCTATAGTGACTTTTTCTAGGCTTGTCCAAGGATAGGATAAGACATCTTGAAGGCTTTACTATAATGACTTTATGTTGGATAGGTCAGGTGTATAGAGGTGCATGAAGGGAATTGTCTTCTCATGGTAGGATAAGTGGGATAAGATTTATAAATAGTTCTAGATTGGTCTTTGGCTAAGTCTACTTCTATTTTCTATGGTTGCTTCTATATCTTAGAAATTTCTTTCTCTTTTCTTCTGAAATCAAGTCTAAAATTATCTCTCATTTATATACCTTTTGAGATCTACATCCACTTGGATTCATTTGTAGAGATAAAGCATCTGTTCTACTTGTAAGATGGTTGAGCTTAAAATCAATTCTATGAAGAACTCTATTTTGGCTTACAACGTTTTGAAACTACTAGTTAAGAGCTTCTTTTATAGAGGAGACATGATTTAAAGTTCCTTGAGGGGATATTTCTGTGACAAGAGATCAATTCTATGCTCTAAAGCAGAAAATTCTTCTTCATAAGGTCTTATCATTGCTATACAAGGCAAAATTTGTACTTGTGCAAGCAGGAGTGTTGGAATCACAAGTTTAGGTTTTTTCAGTAGAAGGAGATCTTTATGGCCTATTTTTTAAAGAAGATCAAAGAGAGTGCTTCTTTATGTGGGGAGGATTTGGAAGTCTTACCCATCTTCTTCTAGTTTGCTTTAGGCCATTGTTATCATCATCATCATCATCTTAAGAAGGATGCTTATGTCTTCAAGCAAATCTAGGATGCTTAAGCTTCTTGGAGATCTTTCATGTTCCATACCAGTCATCATCACCATCAGAGTAGTTCCAAAAATCACAATCAATCATAACTAGGATCACACATTTTAGGTCCCAAATAAAGCGACCATCAATATGAGAAACATAAACTGGCTTGGCTTCCTAAGTAAACTAGTGCAATAATTAAGATTTTATCAGAGATCTGGGCTAGATCTTGGGATCTAGGTCTCTTGAAAATTGATTTGATAGTCCTGTCTCCCAATCTGTACAGAATAAGGGATTTTATGGTGTAGACATCCTTCTAATTAGCATGAGACTCTTTTTCATAGTTGTTAATCCATTCTAATGGCATCAACTAAGTAACCTCTTCTTTTGGCAGATGTCTCAAGATTTGGATGATTAAAGATTCTCTAGGTCTATCAGCAACCATATATAGGTCATCCCTAGTTAGGCTAAGGAAGTTAAGATCAAGTGAATGATCTTGAAGTTTGTAAATAATTTAGTGGTAAAGGGTAGCCATGGTGGCTGAAAGGTCTTGCTCTACTCTAACTATCTTGATTTGGACTTTCAATCTAGTAGAGAGTGGGATCTATGAGCTTGATGTTGAAATCAGGGATATGGTAAGGATCATGCTCCCTTGACTGAGGGTAGTCAATAGTGTACCAATCATAGTGTGATTATAATGTTAACTCAAAGTGTTTTGATGATAGTAAAATCAAGAGAAAGGAATTTGCTGCTTGTGTTGACCATAATATCATGAATCAAGTAACACCCTTCTATTGCATGAATTGAAATCGAGGGTATATCTTCTGTATACTGTCATCTTTTTTTTTTACTCTTCAATTGAAATTTCTTCTTGAAATTATTGCATTTCAATGAATTGTAGTTGCATCCTTACACTAAAAAATGTTGTTTAAAGATGTCCAATAATCTTTTGCTAACTAAAGAAAATCTATCTCTATACAAGTAGAGACGAATATTGTGGTGTCTTAAAAATGGGCATCACTAAATAACTAGAGACAAATTTTTTAAGCCATCTTTGATTAGGGACAGATTTATTCTCTCTATAAAAAATGCTATCTCTAATTCTCATGAAAGATTCATTTTTATAAAATGCTCTAAAAGTTATATAAAATGATGGAGACAAAATATTATAATCTCTAAATTCATCTCTAAAAAATGAAAACTAAATTCCTCAAAGCTTCACTACTATGTCAATGCCACATCACTTAGAGACACCTTACCAGGCATGTGTGCATCTACACATGCCAACTCACTTAACACCTCACCCACCTATATGGGGGTCAACTAATCCCACGTCATGTGTCATGTCACCACCTCATTCTATGTTAGTAGCCACTATGCACCACGTCACATATTCATCACAAAATATGCTAAGGCCAATAATTGATCCCTTGACCTCCCACCTTCTAAGCCTTAAGTCCTCCTTCTTTGCTAGTTGAATGAAAATGCACATGCTATAAAATCCACCTAAGAGGGGGTGAATTGGGTTAATTAAAATTTAAAGCAATTAATGCAAAAATAAAGATAAGAAAGGAACAATATCTCCAAACAAAGCAGAGAGAAGGAAAGAGGAGCTTTGCATAGAGAGTTTATCTTAGTTCAACTCTATCCACTTGAGCCTACATCTAGTCCCCAAGACATCTTTGAGATTTCTCACTATATTCACTAAGATTAAATTGGGCTTTTGGTTGGCTCAATACAACATAAACTTCTTACTAATTCTGGGACTCTCTC